CACCCCACCCCACGCAAATTAAAACTAGAAAAATCACTGGCCTTTCGCCACCGTCGCCACCACCACTGTCAATCTCAAACAACATCACAAATAATATCACCCAAAAGAAAATTTGACGAGTCCTCCTGTGCAAAGGCTACAGCTTTTCTGAAAATTTGTCCAACAATAAGAATTCATTTGGCAATACTGAAGGAGCTGCAAAATATCCAAGTCTATCTACTATAATGAAGAGCATTGAGAAAGAGGAGATTCGTGAGGATAATTATGTCTATAGGAGGTTCTCGTTCTCAGGAGCAACAAAAAGTGCTCATCTTCATCTTCATCTAATTCTTCATCTGGTGCTTCTTCTTTATTCTCGTCTTGCTCGTTTAATTTGAACGTTTTTCACGAGTTTCACTTCCACAAGAGAAGTAGCAGTGCAACAGAAATTGATAGTTCAATGGCATGCCAGTGAATCTTCTGGTTTCAATTTGGGTGGCATAGGGGTAGGGGTTGGGGTGGGGTTCGGAGCACGGGCGGACCCACATGGGGTCATGTGGGGTCAAATGACCCCACAAAATTTTGCCCTTTTTTTTTTTAATTTTTACAATCTACTTTGATGCACTCGTCGGGATATCAAATGAAGTCAAAATATTGCATTCTTAATCCCATTTCGAAGTGCTCATGACCTAGTTTTTCACTCATTAATGGCATGCGAAGTGGTCAATTATAACAAAAGTTATGACATGTTAAAGTAGGCTGTTTGAAACTAATATTTTGAGAGTTTCAATAATATTCTAACTTTAAAAATTCGTTTGCAATCATGTGCTATCTGAATCCACAAATCGTCTATGCCATATAAAAGTTTGTTTCGAAAACTACATCGTTTTCATATCGAATGGTCCAAACGGATATCGAAAATAGTTAAATATGTATCAAACGTACGCCTTAAAAAAGACGTCTAACTCTTTTTTTCTTTTAAAAAATTCAATTAATTATTATTTTTGCACAATAAATTTTTCAATATAATTTATATCATTTCATTCGAAAGTCTTACATTAAATATGACGTAAATTTTTTAGGATTGTTACGGATTAAATGCAATTCGAATTATTTTCGAATTATATATGTTTGCTTTAAATTTGAATTTCATTTACTTCCTGAACTAAACTTGAATTTTATTTCAATTCATTTAATTTCTATATTCAATTTAATTTACTCAATGTTAGCTCAGCATTTACCAACGAAATGATAAACAAAACTATACAAGTAGCAAAATTTATTCAATATTATTAATAATGATGTAATTATACGACGTTTTCAAAGTGTCAAAATACATATTAACTTATTTTTATTGATATTATGTTGTTTATTAAAAAAATCATTTTTAAAATTTTGACCCCACAATACTAGACGTCTGGATCCGCCCCTGGTTCGGAGTGGGGTGAAGAAGAAGAAGAGTTTTATTTTCTTTTTCCCCTTTTTTTATTTTTTGGTCTTTAAATTTATTTTTAAAATTTTCTTGAGCCAATTTATGTTATTTTATATGAGTTACAAAATAAGTATAATATTATTATATTTTATCAAATTTTATGATACTTAAATATTCAACCCAAATACAATATATGATAAATTTTATAAAATATATATAAGAAATAAGTTTATCACTTTAACCGTTGGACTTTAGTGTAATGACAAAGTTAGACATGGACTCTTCCACTTGTTAAATGACCAACATTAAATTTAGATTCACGTGAAAATAGTAAATAAAAATTCGGGGTGATACATCACTTTCCCCTTAAAATAATTTCTTCCTCGTTATTTAGTTGAAAAGCTCTTTATACTTAACTTTTATTCCTCCTTTTTCTCCCAAGTAGCGTCTTCGACTTTATGATTTTTCCATCAAACCTTAAACAATGCAACTTTCTTATTTCTTAATGCGTATACTTTCCTACATCTCTAAAGGAGCCTCTTCATACGTTAGATCGTTTTGTACTTCCAATGAATCATAGCTTATCACATTCTCGGGATCATGCACAGACTTTCTAAGCATTGATATGTGGAATACATTATGTACTACTGATAGTCCAAGTGATAATGCTAGACAACACACTACATTCCCAATTCTGTCTAAAATTTTGAAAGGACCTATA